GCAGAAGCCTGACACTCAGGGATGAGATCTTTGGCTGGATGCAGAGACCTAGGTGTGATCACCCTACAGGGTGGGAAAGGTTATGGGCCTTACCTAAGAAGTAGGCAGAATGAAGACAGGGGCAGAAGGCTAATACAAAGACTCACGGTCAACAGATCTGAACACATGTTCCACCTTTACCACTTACTAGTTTGATACCTCAGGCACATTACTCAAACTCTCTGCTGACATTTCTGTTTCCGCACTGGTAAAATCACAGAAAAGAGTTAAGACAGGTTTTTTTGATCCTGATAAAAATTAAGTAAAGTCTATTCTCCATCTCCCCCACACTTTCCCACTGTAAATGGAATAAAGGAAAAAAGAAGATCTAAATGTGGGGCTTATAAAAGCTGCCTACCACATACCCCTCTATCACATTATGTAGGCGAAGCCCCCACTCCCACCCTTCACCCTTTGTGAATGGAACAGAATTGGGACTTACTCAGTGATGCCTATCACTGACACTGAAGGCCAGCCCACCAAAGCTTGGCATCCAGATAACTGCCCCATGGTTGAGCAGATTTTAATATGCATTAATTCCTTCCCTCAGTGAATACTGATTAAGAACCCACCTTGAGCCAGACACAATTCTCCAGAACTAAAGATAAAGTATCTACCCGGAAGGAGTTCAGAATAAAAGAGACCAGAGGCAAGCCAACCAGTCAAGAAGTTGTGTAATGAGACCTGAATTGTTGTGGGACAGAGGAGGAGTAAACATATTTATGTATTAACTACAATACAATGAATTAGTAGACTGACTTCTGATGACAAACAGAACCACAGCTCCCAGAGCTAATAATGAAGCTCAATTTTGCACATACTGCTTTCTTTTAGAGACAGGCAAATTTCCTTCAGGTCTTTCCTTCTTTTCAAGGGGGGAAAAACCCACTTCTCAGTCAGATTTTTCTCTTACAGCAACCACTGGGTTTTCTTTTCCTTTCACAGTTCAGTCAAGATACTTATTAGATGTAATTACTGTCTCCACATTTGATTTTTCAAACTCAAAACTGCCAGTGCCTTTGGTACTGCGGCTAAACACACAAGCAAGGCATATAAAGACTGGAGCCACCTGACTTCCTACTAAACTGTCTAGCCTTACTCTCCCTGCTCTGCTCACTCAAATTTCAGCCTCTAAAAATTACAACAGGTCCTGAAACCTGTGGAGGCTGGTTTCCTTCCTCTAGCCTTGTAGCTGCTATTCCCCTGCCTAAAACACTCTTCCTTCTAGACTGTCTGGTTCCTACTCATCCTTCAGAACTCAACCTAGAAATTTAGATGTTTCTTTTCTGCAAAGCCTCTCCTTGCCCCCTCGAATCTGGGGTGCTACCTGTCCCACAAGCTCATTACTGGTTAATTCAGTTTGGTTTCCTTATTAGATAGCAAGCTCCACAGGGGCACAGGCTGTATCTCATTCACCATTTCACCTTATACCATATGGGCACTCAGCACAAGGCAAACTTCAGGGCAAAGCTGGCCGGATGAATGAACAAAGCTGCTTTTCCCAGATCCTCACGGCCAAGGTCCTTCCCAGGCTCCGGGTGTCAATGTATATGTCACCTCTTGAGGGAAAGGCTACCTTATACCACGCTACCTAAAGTAAGTCGCCCAGTTATTGGAAGCACTTACCAATTTTTTTTCTGTCGCCCTCAAGGGGGCAGGGTATACTTCTCTAGGTCACCAGCTTGTCCCCAGCACCTAGCACTGTGCCTGGTGCACAGGGACAGTGAAGGTGTGTACTGTATGAATGAAGGAGAGGCTGCAAACCACTGGCTCCACGTTGTAAGATTTCAAATACTATGGTGGCGACTTCGCTCCCCAGCCCAGTCACCAAGCCGCGCTTGGGAGCTGACGGGCCGACCCCACCCGGGTGCGAGCTTGGCCGGCCGCAAGTCAGCTCGAAAAGCCCCTCGAGGAGCAGCTCCAAGCAGGGGCGCGGAGGTGGCGCCAAAGGCCTCGGCCTCCTCAGCTCTCCAGGGGACGAAGGGGGCCGGACCCCGACATCACGCCCATTCCCCCGTCCCTGCCCTGGGCAGCCCCGGTGAGCCCAGCGAAGACATCTCGATCAGACCGGGCCGGACCTGCAGGCCGGGCTGTGCCAGAACCCCGCCTGCCACGCCGCGTGCGCTCTCCTCACCTGCGGGCCCAGCTCGGCTGGAAGCTTCTGCAGCTGCCACAAGGGCGTCCCCTCTTCCGGCTCCATCCTAGTACGAAGCAGGAACCTCGGTCACATGACAAGGCCCGGTGGCGCCTCTAGAGCGTCGGCTCACCCACGTGACTCTCTCGGGTGGGGTTGGGGGCCGGGCGTGGAGACGCCGGAGCCCTTGTGCGCGTGCGCAGAGGCACAGCCCTCGCCTTCCCGGTAACTAAGGGAAATCCCTTTTCCGCCTGGAATTACTTTGCTGAACACCCTTATTAGGTTGAAGGGAAATTTGCAAATCCTCAAAGCAGTTTACAGCTTTGTTCAGAGTTCTATGGAACTTCCTCTGCGCTGCGTTGAAAACCAACTAATAAGAGTAACCGTATTGTGAGCTCAGGGCCATTGTCCCTGAGTTTTGGCGTAGGTCTACAAAAGTGTTCTGATTTGGAAGGTTAAGTAAGGGTTTACCTGTGTGAGATATTCTTTATATAGATTATCTTAAGAAGGTACTGTTTTCACGCCCATTTCCAGATAACAAGATCAGAAAAGTCACAAGGATTATCAGATCTAGCAAAAGGACGGAGTGCCCAGTTAAATCCGAAATTTCAGATAAACAACAAAAATTATTTTCTTAGAAGTGTGCCCTCTAAATACTGCAGGGGGCATAATTATACTAAAACACGATTCCTTGTTTATCTGTAAGTCAAACTCAACTGGGCATTCTGTATTTTATGTCAACCCTAAAAGTCACGAGAGCTAAGAGGCACAGCCTAAAGTTAAAGTCAGACTCTTGTTAACACTAAATTAGCAAAAAAGCCAAACAGCTTTTCTGTGATTTCTCTCCTCATTATAGCTGTTACTTTAATCAGGTGCTGGGGAATTTAGTGGGATAAAATAGTTCTGCTATCCAGAAATGCACAATAAGTGGGAAACAGAAACAGAAAGTACTGTCTAATATAAATTTAATAATAAAAGTAGTGAAAACTGATGAAGCATACCACAGAGGAGAAAGTAATTATGTTAGTCTGTGGGCTATGCAAAGAAATACTATTTATTAGTGACATTCTCCAATGTTTAGCTCAAACATCCTTTCTATACTCTGTGCCCCATCTCTTGGTGGTGAAAGCAATTTCTTCCTCTGAATTTTCATGACTGTCCCTCACTTAAAATATTTACTATTTTCTATAGATAGTTATTTACAACAATTATTGCCCCAACTGAATTATCTTATGACACTTTGACTTTGTGCATAGGAGCCCCTCAAGTAATAGTTAGGGAAACAAGGAATCTGGAAACTTCCTAGCTAATCTGTCTGTTAGTATGTCTACTAAGGGTAGAGTCTGTTTTCTAAGAAAAAGCTAGATTTTATATATTGTAAAAATTGGGGTAAAGATATTTATCGAGCATCTACTTTATGCCAAACACTTCATATATTTTCTCTTATTAATTCTCCCTATAACCTTGTGTTGTGGGTCTTACCTCAACTTTTAAAGATGAGGAAACAAATTTGGTGAAGTAGTATCAACCTTGTCCAAGGTCATATAGGTATTAGTTGCAAAGTTACTGGGCTGAGTCTGTGTTTCACTGGCCCTACAGAGGAAAGAAAGACATTCTGAGGTGATATGACTTCCTAAGGTCATAAAACAGATTAAAATAAGGCAAAGAGGCACAGAGACCAGGGCCCAAGATTTAGTCAGAGGACACAGATTTAGGTCCTGATTTCTCTCTCAAGCAACACTAGATATTAGGAAGAATTTGGTCTTTCCTTTGGAATTTGGTTGTAACAAAACTTAACCTTTAATTGTTGAATCACTGTATTGTATGCCTGAAACTAAAATAACACTGTATTTTAACTAACTGGAATTAAAATTAAAACTTGAATAAATAACAGTAGTATACACACATACAATCTCAACCTTTAACAAATAGTTCTAATAAAGTTCACAAGTTAAGAGTGCTTAATATTTGCTTTTTGATAAGTAAGAAGATGTTCTTATGTGTGTAATCCAAGAGGTTTTCAAAAATACTTTTTTCTCTTACAGTCCCATTTTTCTAAGTGTGCTCTAGCTTCCATGTTCCAAATCTTACTTATAGTGATAGTTAGAAACGTGGACTCTGGAGCTAAACTTCTTAAGTTCAAACCCCAATTAGGCAAATTAGTATCTATGTAATATTGGGCAAGCTATGTTCACTTCCCTGTGTTTAGGATTCCTCATCTGTGATTAGTTATAATGTTAGCACAGAATTTAGAGTCATAAGTTCATATATGTAAAGTTCTTGAAGTCTAGCTTGGTGCATAAAAAAAAAAATTATTAGATTCCCTTGTAAGTGGCCTTCTGTCCTCATTTGTTATCTAGCCAAAGTTTAGTGGGTTCCAGAAAGCAGAGTGTCTTCTTTACCCTCCTAGATATAGTGTTGGAAGGTCTCTGCCTTGGGAATGTGATCTGCCTCCAAAATCCACCTCAGCTGTTATCTAGTGCAGTAGAGGCAATGGAAGTCACTGATCACAACTGAGAGAAATGTAAAAAACATCTCAGATAAACCTCACTGAGTGTGCTTGCTGAGCTGAAATTGGAAGTCAGGAAGAGTTAATTTGTTGCATTTTCTTAAGGTTATTTGATTGGAATTTTTTCATTTTGAAGTGGAAGGAGCAAGAAAGAATTTTGTGCATCATGCCCTGGGAGATTTATTCATTCATTCATTCTTTAACAATTAACTGGTTAAACATCTACCAAGCTTTAGATACTCGAACGGCTCTGGTATTGCAGGCAGTGAACAATAACTTACCTTCTAGTTGTGTTTGTCAGGACCTCAGATAATGAACAAGTAAGCAAATAATACCATGTCAACTATGGAGAAGCATCCTAAAGAAAATGAAACAAGGTGATGTAATAGAGAGGGATGGTGGAAATATACTTTAGAATGGTCAAGGAATACACTGCCAAGAAGTAGCATTTACACTAAGGTATAAAGGAGTAGGAGACATGAAGGCAAACATCTGGGGAGCACGGGAGTTGGGATTAGAATGTAGAGGCCCTGAAGCTGGAGAAAGCCTGCCTTACTCAAGATAACAACCAAAGGCCTGTGTGGCCAGACCATAGGTAGTGAGCAAGGCAAGTGTGGTGGAGATGTCAGAGATACAGGCAGGGATTTTTTTTTTTTTTAAGATTTTATTTATTTATTTGTGTGTGAGAGAGAGAGAACACACGCAGGGGGAGCGGCAGGCAGAGGGAAAAACAGGCTCCCCACTGAGCAAGAAGTCCCATATGGGACTTGATCTAAGGACCCTGGGATCATAACCTGAGCCACCCAGGCATCCCTAGGCAGGGATTTTAGTCAGCAAATTGACATTAACTAGTCTGCATTTTTAAATGGTTATACTCTGGAAAGCAGTTAGATTTTGGAAAACCAGCTCTTGGGTAGAAGTGTGAAAGCAGGAGAATCCATTTGGGGGATATTCCAGATTAATCCTAACTAATGTAGGCATTAAAGTTAATATCACCTAATTTGCATGTACAGACTGTAGAAATCTAGGGGCCTAGATGATGAGTGGTGGCAGTGGAACCCAGATACAAATGGAAAGACTCAAAAGGTATTTTGGGTAATGTATAGAATTATTGAATCATTACACTGTACACCTGAAACTAACACTGAATGTTAGTTATACCTCACTAAAAAAAGAAAACAATGAACATGTTAAAATCTCAAAAAAAAAAAGATATTCTGGAACTATGGAACTAAGATAAATGGAATTTATTGTGGGTTGGATGCTTTTGAAAGAGAAAGAGGATATAGAAATAAAATGCTGACTATAAGACAAGATAAAGCATCTGTCCTGCCAGACAGCTGGAGGTTTTGGGCCCTGGCCAGGGGGTAGAGTCATAAACTAAGCCACTGTGTTAGTGAAAACTTTTTGAGGAACAGCGTACTGTATTGGCTCTAGAGTCAGAGTCCATTTATATCCCTGTCACTTACCAGCCAGGCGACTTTGGGAAAATTGCTTAAATTCACTGTACCCTGGGTTCCTTGACTGAAGATAGGGATAAAACTACTGCCCACCTGAGCATCTACTTTATGCCAGACTACTGTGTTGCTGTGAAGTGAAAATGAAATAATGCATACAATGTGTTAACATGGCATCTAGAATGTAGTTTGCCCATAGTATAAAAGTTAACCATTATCTCTCTCCAGTATTAGTATTACTTGGAGCACAGGTAGCATGCAGCCCTGGGAACAAAGTGAGATACATTCACACACATACACACATGCGCTGTGCTAATTAGTCTGGTGAGGTGCCTTGATAAAGAAAGTTCAAGAGAAAAATGGAGCTGATTCATCCCTGTGAACTCCCATAAGTAACTGACTTGGGCAGTGGCGGGGGGGAGGGGGATGGATTGTGCCAATCATTCAAACACAAGATGGACATTATGGCAGAGACTGCTGTTTGTCCCCCAATATCTCTCCTCTCTGTTATGAGTTAAATTGTGTCCCCCTTAAAATTCATATGTTGAAGTCCTAAGCCCCAATACCTCAGAATGTGACTTTATTTGGAGACAGGTCTCTATAGAGATAATCAAGTTAAATTGAGGTTATTATGGTACATCATAATCCAGTATGACTAATGCCCTTATGAAAAGGGAAAATTTGGACACCAATACATATAGAGGAAAGGCTGTGTGAAGAGATACAGGAAGATAGCTTGGCTCTCCAAGCTGAGGAGAGAGGCCTGGAATAGATTCTTTTCTCACCGCACTCAGAATGAAGCAACCTGCCAACACCTGAATATTTAATTTCTAGTCCTTAGATCTGTGAGAATAAATCTCTGTTGTGTAAGCCACCTCTCAAGGGACTGATTGATAAACCAGAATGTCACAGAATAAGAATTGTTTCTCCTTAGGGCAGTCTCTCTTGACCCATAAGTTCCTTTAACCAAATCATGGATTAGAAAGATGCTTGGTGAATATAAGACTAAATGAAAGAAGAGAGAATAGATCTAAAATGTTTCCTTGAAATTGTAATAAACCATAGTCCTTTTTCATTCCAGGAACATTTCTGGGTAAAGAAAAGACAAAGCATCCTAGGGGCGCCTGGGTGGCTCAGTTAAGTGTCTGCCTTAGGCTCAGGTCATGATCTCAGGGTCTGGGATCCTGGGATTGAGCCCAGTGTTGGGTTCCCTGCTCAGTGGGGAGTCTGCTTGTCCTTCTGCGCCTCCCCCAGCTCGTGATCCCTCTGTCTCTCAAATAAATAAAATCTTTTAAAAAAGGAGAAAAAGACAAAGCATCTTTTCCTCTTGACTGAACTAAAAACTTTGTTTCTTTGACTCTCCTTTTTACTAGCTACCATACCCTTATACTTGCTTCATACAAACTCTTGACCAAGATTTAGGAAATATGTCTGTTCCATAGGGTTACTCTGGGAATTTCTATTCCCTGTTCTTGTGGATTGAGTCTTACTAGTTAATTTCAGATGATTACCTTTTCTTGTCCCTAAATTCTAGGGTTCCCTACTTTTGCTACCCAGGAACTGACTACATTAGTCTGCTTCAGTAAGTATGATTTCTGACAAATGTTCTAGGAATCAAAAGCTATTAAGTCATTATTCAGAGTTATTGCACCCTTTAATAAAAGAAATTGTCTATAGCTTTCCACATCTATTTTCTCAGTTCAAACCTGCTTTTCGGGTTATCCTATGACTTGAAGTTGACTAATTTGTTCATCATAATTAGATGTGTTGCAATGCAGATGTGCTTAGTGATTTTCATTGCAATCTATTTAAAATTATTCCTGTCCATAAATTGTTGAGAGGAAAGAGCCTTCAAGTTTAAATGAGTTTAATTATCATCTTATAGTCATACAGGAAATATTTAAATGTTATATTGGCATTGATTCCATTGCATCGAAAGAAATTATGAATAGCTAATTTGTAAATACTGGGTAGGTTCTGCGTTCAGTCTTATCTGAATAAACTCAGATTTGGCTGCCCAGAGACACAGTGTCTTGGAAGTCACTTGGATAAATGTCTTGTTTCATCCTGGTGAATAAGCTTAATAAACTGGAAGTCTTTTTCTTTTTGAGCTTTATATGTAATTAAGAAATGCTTTTAATACTTCCTTATTCCAGTATTTTCTTTATCAGAAAATATTCTTGGAGCTTAAGCCATCTGAGTTCTCCATTAAAGTGATCTTTGAAACAAATAGGCATTTTGACTTAAAAGGGGCAATGAGATCATACATAACAGTTATTTCAGTGTAGCACTGAAGAGTACAATATATCAAAAGCTCTGAAATTGCTTTGTTAAAGTGAAATACTTGAGTGAACTGCAATTTTGGAACTTAACTGGAATGCACTGTAATCCACACTACGTCCTCAGGGGTTGGCATGTCTTTTAGAATGGCATGTCAAGTGCACAGTTAGTCTTTCTGATGAAAATTCTATGCCTGTAAGACCTCTTTTCTCAGTTGCCACCTCTTTAATCACTGTACGGAAAATTCTCCACATCTGTGAGCTCTTAGAATTTCAGCCAGTGGTTCTTAATCAAGATAGCACATTAGAGTCACTCCAGGGAATTTTTGAGTGATTGATTTTTCACTTTTGATGTGCTACACTTGTATTTTGTTTTGTTTTTGCAAAAGCTTTGTAATTTATTTTTTTTTATTTTTTTTAAGATTTTATTTATTTATTCATGAGAGACAGAGACAGAGAGAGGCAGAGGGAGAAGCAGGCTCCCAAGGAGCAGGGAGCCCGATGCGGGACCCGATCCCAGGACTCTGGGATCATGACCTGAGCTGAAGGTAGACACTTAACCATCTGAGCTACCCAGGCACCCAAAGCTTGTAATTTACATACCAAAAAATCGCACCATTTGAAGTACAGTCCAGTGGCGTTTACTGAATTTATACAGTTGCACAACTATTCCCAAAATTTAGTTTAAGAAACTACCATGGCCCTGCACAATATTCGTTGTGTGGGTTTGTAGACAATCATATGGAAACTTTAAAAAAAATAATAGCCAGACCTCATCCCCTAGACCAATAATATCAGAATCTTGTTGAGGGTTAAAATACCAACATTATTTCGTTTGACAAAACACCCCATGTGACTTAATGTAAACCAGCACTGAGATCCACTGATTTGGACAAAACTTCATAGAAAAAGTGAAGATTTGGAAAGTGTAGATGTAACCCCTTACTAACCAAGAGATCTGATCAATTGAGACCAATGTTGTCACAACATCAGCACCGTGACAAAGACCTTTAGAACATCTAGAGGATGGTGGTTTTTTGATCACTCTGCTATTCCTATTGTTTCCTTTGCCTAGAATCTTCTCTCCTTTCTCCTGCAGCTCCCTCCAGGCACATCCAGTTGGCCTAATGAATTCAAACACATCTTCAAAGAATTTTCATTGCTGTCCCACTTGTGTCTCCACAACTCTTTGAACAAACTGCTGTCTTAGTCCTTATGGCACTGCATGGCAACTATGTGTTTATATTCTACGTCTTCCGTTGTTCTGAAACCTCCTTGAAAAGCAGAGGCCATGATGCATTCATTTTAGTATTCTCGACAGTGTCTAGCATGAAGGAGATTCCCCATTAAGTGTTTGTTGAATTCAGAAAGACAAGTGATTAAAAACAAAACAAAACAAAACACTATGGGAAGCTTCAGCAGTAATTCACAACTTTGACTACAAATTAGAATCAGCTGAGGAGTTTTCCCAACTCCCTATGACCAAATCACACCTTAGACACTTAAGTCAGAATTTCTAGGGATAGAAGATAGTAACACTTTTTTTCCAGCTCCTCTGGTGATTCTAATGTGTAGCTGAACTTGAGAACCAGGA